GACGCACTCCCCCCCCCCCCTTTAACACACAGCCACCTTGCCTTTTCTTAAGTTCTTAGCAATCGGTGTGTCTGGCCACGCCGTAGCCCCTGTCTCCACGAAAGGTGGATTCTAACCCATACCCACCCGTGCGGCTCTATCTCGGGTTCGTAAAGTGAGGGTGATATGGATGGATAAACTGAGGGGTATCCACGGCACCTGTCCAGGGCCCGATCCCAGGAGGGGCTCATGATACCTCTGAGCAAACGTTCAAGCCGCCCGGTGCGGTCAGCACAGCAATGCCATTTGACAGGCCGGGAGTCCGGCTCAGAGTGGTTAAGGAACTTGCCTGCGGTCACATAACTAGACATTACGGAGACTGAACTCACACCCAGGTCATCCTGGCCCTGGGCGAGCTCTCCCTCCACCGGGGTGTGGGGACGGTCGCCCACATGGGATGGTGATGTCTTTGGTAAGTGCCGGGCAGAGATGCACAGGGAGTGGCCTCAGGGTACTTGAGTCTTCCCCGGGGACAGGCAAAGCTCCTTCCGCTCAGACCGGAAGCTTCTGGAAGCAGACCCTCGGAGGGTAACTGCCAAAGGAAGGAAGGGCCTGAGGTCCCTCGAGGCATGGGGCCCTCGGGTACTGGGGGCAGCGGCCGGGACCCACACCCTGGAGCCCAGTGAGCCCTGGAGGTCAGAGAGGACACTCGGCCAGGAGTGTCCCCGGAAGTCTTCCCGCTGACCCCTGCCCTGCCCTCTGGCATCACACGACTCATCTGACCACACTTCCCTGACCGCAGTTGCAGAGCCCCCCCTCCACACGTCACCAACATTTTTGGAGCACCTACTGCATGCTATGGGCAGCTACGTGGCCCCTGTCATTTCCCTGGGCTCAAGCACCCTGAGTTTCCCCAGCCAAGCCTCGCAGTGTCTGTCAAACGGGGTCCAGTCTCACCCAGCTCCACTGAGTGACCGCCACCCCCTCCCAACACCCTGGAGTCACGCAAGACACGCCCCTCCCCCCACAACGCACCTTCCATCACCCAGTCCTGCTCCCTGACCTCCCAAATAGTGCCCAAACCCCCACAGCACCCACTTCTCACCTTGGCACTGCCACGAGCCTCACCAATATGCCCGCATGTCTTGCCTGGGTGACCCGATCGTCTCTTAAACGTTGGCATCCACAGAGCCAATCCAGGCCTCGTAGAGCTGCCTCGCTGAGGTTTTAAATGACAAACCTAATCACACAGTCCTCCAACCTAAAAGCCACCGCCCTTAAGACTGAAGTCCGAACTGTTTACCACGGCCCAGGGCCCTTAAGGCCCGCCCCACACGTACCTGCACCCTGTTCAGGCACAGCCAACTTAGCCTCCTTACAGTTCTTTCCGAAGTAACCCCTCCTTCCTCCTGCCCCAGGGCCTTTGCACACACAGTCTGCTCTTCCTGGAATTCTCTTCCTGTGTGCCTCCCCCACCTTACAGACACGCACAAACATGCACACACACCTATACGCACACCACACTTACTACATCCGGTTAACTTTTACCCATTTTAAAAGGCTCACAGGCCCATATTCCTTAAAGCCCTTATGTTGGTGTATAAACACTCATTTGGGTTCTCAGTTGGTTGATTCTGTCTCCCTGTCAGGCTGAGGGTGAGAGGGCAAAGCTCGCGCCGGGATTTGCTCATCCTGCCTCCCGGCTCAGTGCTTGGCACACACTCGCCGGATGAGTGAAAGAGTCAGCGAGCGCTCTGGCAGGAAGGGTCGAGAGTTTGACAGAGAGTCTGCCTTCCGGAGACCGACTCTACAGAGATGTGCTGGGCTCATCAGCCGTCCACCCAAACCCACCCTCTCCTCTTGCTGGGCACACGGCCCGCCCAGCCTGCCTCCCATGGAGCGTGGCCACGTGACCCCAGCTCGCGGGGTGTGAGCAGAAGCCACGTCTGCCGCTCCACAGCCTAGCCTTCCGGAGCCCCCCATGTGGGGACGTGGGGCCACCAAACGGGCCTTTAAAAGGACGAGCAGATCCACGATATCTGGCACGGAAAACGTTCACATCAAATCTAGAAGAAAAAAGGCCGATACCACCCTGCGTCCACAGTGTGAACCTACTTATCAGAAATAGGAGTCGGCCGTCCTGGGTATTTATGCAAAAAGAGATTTCCGGAAACGTGTCCACCATGGAGTTAATAGGAGTTATGACTCGTTGGGGGATTTCCGTGTGATGCCTGAGTTCTTCTTTGTGTGTTTCTGGAGTTCTACAGGGGTTAGAAGTTGTTTTTACACCAAAAATTAAGCTCAGGACGCCTGGGTGGCTCAGGCGGTGGAGCGTCCGACTTCAGCGCAGGTCAGGATCTCACTGCCCATGAGTTCGAGCCCCACGTTGGGTTCCGTGCTGACACCTCAGAGCCTGGAGCCTGCTTTGGGTTCTGTGTCTCCTTTCTCTGCCCCTCCCCTGCTCACGCTGTCTCTCTCTCTCCCCCCCTCAAATAAAATAAACATGAAAAACATAAAAATAAATACAGCTCTCTCCCTTGACATAGAAACATCAGCGCCCCCTGTGTCCTGGGGGATGTGGCCCCTCCTAACTGCACTCCTGACTCACCTCCCAGCTCCGGGCCCCGAAGAATGTGGGATGCGTCCCACGTGTGGTAACATTTCCAGTTTGCCTCCTGGCTCGGCTCAGACAAGGACAAGAATGATTGCAGAGACGCACCCCTGGGTGTGTTCTTGGAGACTGGATGATTAAACCCGTTACCCAGTCCCCAGAGTCTGTTAAGAGGAAATCTTTATAGGTATTAGCCGCGATTTTGCACCTTTCGTCCCATATTTAATAAAAAGCAAAGGGAGGCGGGTGACATTTAAAGTGGGAAAGAGCGGGTCCTAACGGGCTCCTGACCCCCAGGTTCCTGGTCCCAGGGCCGCGGCTGAGCCAGGAGCCCCGGGCCTCCTGCTCTGAGCTCAGTCAGCTCTGTGGTGAGAGCCACCAGCCCACAGGGCTTGGCCTTTTAAGGAACGAAGAGGCGCAGCAAACAGGAACCCTGCAGGCTGGGGACGTGACCGCACAATTATCAAGGACTCCACTCAGCAGGACCCAAGGGCGTGTCCACTGCAGAGAAAGTGGGGAGTCGAGGCTGCCTGGGGCCCCGCCTTCCCCACGGCAGGCACCCCCGCAGTGTGAGGGGCCCTCCTGCGTCCCCGGCCACCGTGCGTGCACTGCTCTCTGACAGCGTCTGCGAGCCGGAGCCGCACCAGGGACTGGGGGCCCCGCGGCTCCCGGCCGACTGCCCGTCCCCCTGACCCCACGGACCGCCTGAGCGTATCCCAATGGGTTAGAATTTTCACAGGTCTTCCTTTTGCTGTGGTAACATCCCTCCTGCTAAAGGGACAGTCTCCTCGAGAGCTCCTGTGTCCTTCCGCTGAGGTCCTTTGACCGGCACGATGCCCTGGACGACGGCAGGAGCTGGTGGATTCACCGAGCTGCCCCACTGCGGCGTCCGTGGGCTCGCTGGGCCATCTGCCCCTCCTCCCCAGCCCCAGCGCCCCCACCGCACTGCAGGTGGGCGCTTGCTGCCTCGGTGGGGCCCTAACCGTAGGACCCAGGTCCCAGAGCTCGGACCCATCCCCCCGCTCCAGGACCCCCAGCCAAGCCTGGCCAGAGGGGACACCCCAGTCCCCGGGACAAGCTGGCTGATTCAGGGTGGTCTGATCACCCACCCAGAGGTGGAGATGAGGCCTGGCTAGGACTTCGGAGAGAGAGGGAGAGAGAGAAGGAAGGCGAGAGAGAGACCGGGTGCCCCGATCCCTTCTCTGCAGACTCTGAGCCTGGGGGAGGTGAGGTCAAAGTCTGTCTATCGACCAGGACAACTGACACAGAGGAAGCGACTGCAGGAAAGACACTGGTCCTGAGACGTGACCGAGCCACCCTTGAAGGGGCCCATCAGCCCTATAAGCTGCTAACCCCTTTTTCCCTAAGTCACTTTGGGTAGGCTCCCACCACTTGTGACAGACGGGGTCGACACGGATGTGCCTCCGTCCAAGGCTGCAGCCACTCCGGCGTCCCCGTAGCCCTCCTCGTCACCACCATCCCCCCGCCGTGCGATGCCGGGCCCTGGCAGAGGAGCGCAGGGAGCCAACCGGTACACAGCAGCGTCTCCATCGTATAGGCTGTCAATCAAGACCGGTTAGCGCATGGAGGTCTGTGCCCCGTCAGTGCCACCAGGAGGGCTCCCTTCTCACCCAGGGCACACCCGCCCATCTTGGGTGCCCATCCTCCACACCCCCCTGCCCTTCTCCTGGCAGCCTTGCTGAGCCCACGGGGGTCGCTGGGTGCTCCCCAGCTGCGTCCGAGTCCCCGCCGCTCCCTCCCAGATGGGCCGTCTGGCGGGTCTGACGTCGGCCGCACATTTGCTACACCTGAGACGCTCCCGGGACCTACTCTGTGCCCGGCTCTGGGGCACAGATGGGGCAGGCCGGCCCTGGGCCTTCAGGAGCCTCCAGACCCCGCGCTTCCAAAAGAACGGACATTAAAAAGCCACGAAACATTCGTGACAGGGCTCAGGCGGTGACATTCACTGCGTGGATGTTAATTACTTTGTAGGACAATCGTGGGGATTAAGTACTAAGGACCAGGGCTCATAGCAAGTGCTCAGCAAAGGTCATCCAACTACCTACTCCGTGCTGACATCCTGTTAAGTCTTTTAAACCTATACCTGCTCCTGACAGATCAGCTTATTACTCTAGATCGGTGTGAACGTGGTCACATGCCGTGGATCACGACAATCGTGTCAACATCAGGGTTTGGGGGGGAAGACGGACACCACTGACTTAGCACAGGTACGAACAGCGGACAGAGCCGTCTCTGCTGGGGCCCGCGCTCTGCAGCCTTTCAAACAACGCGGGGCCCTGGCCCTGAGCCCGCCGCGGGAGCACGCGACGGGGTGAGGGCTGATGTCGCGGACAGGAGTGTGCACGTCGCCCAGCCACAACGAGCGTCCCTACCAGAAAGGCCCTCCTACCTCCAGTCTGGTCCGGTCCACGTCCCTGGGCAGCTTCACGCGAATTCGGTTTGTGACAATGAGGGCGTCATAGGGGTAGATCTGCGGGGAGAAGAAAGCCCAGGTTCACCCCGGGAAGCAGGCGCGAGCCGGGACGGAAGCGCGGAGCCCAAGGCCCACGGGGAGATACATACTTGCGTCCGCATCTGACACACACATTTCATAGGAAACACAACAAAAGGAGCGTTTAACCTGCGCAGGTGCGGCGCGGCGCCAGGCGGTCGGCCGGCAGCGGGCGGCCCCTCTTACCTTGTATTCTGTAAGAGAGAGAGCAGAGGCCACAGGTGGCGGTTGAGAAAGCGTGGGGACTCACCCCGAAGGCGGAAGCAGCCTCCCATCCTGGGCCCCCTCCCCACCCCCGCAGCCTGCACGCGGGGCTCTAGTCCCCCAGGGAGCAGATTCTCCGGAGGGTCCCGAGAGCAGGAGGCACGGTCGGGAGGCTGGAGGCCAGACTGGGAGATGGACGCGGCGCTGTGTTCCCGGGACGTGGTACCGTCTGCCCGGCGGTCCGGGCCACCCGAGAGAGCTGCCTGCCTCGGTTTACCCACCTGTGGAGCGGGCATCCCGGGGTAGACATTTGGGGGGCACTACAGAGCCTACGGGGTCTGAGCGCTCAGCCTCTTCCTGTCTGACCTTCCTGACCCCACACACCCTCCCCCACCACTGAGCTCCGTGCACTTTTTAAAAGATGCTTCTCTGACAAACTGAAATCATCACGTCAAAGAATCAGCTCGTATGGACCGGAGGGCGTCTGGGACCACGTAGAACCCACAGAAGGCAGACGGGGCCCCCAGCTGGTCTCGGGAGGGAGGCCCCAGCAAGGGCCTGGGTGACAGGGGCCAGTCCCCAAATTTCCCAGCATGCCACACGACATCCTGACCCACCACGTCTGAGCCCGGGGCTTGGGGGCCCATGGAGGGGCCGGCTGTGACACCGATGCCCCTCGGTCTGTTGTGGACCAGCCCACGAGGGCACGCTCCCCGTCACCCTCGGGGTGGCCCCGAGCAGGATGGGCTCCGAGTTAGCAGAGGCCCCCGCTCCGGCGCCTGCGGTATGAGCACCAGCCTCCGAGTTTGAACCCCGGGAGGCCACACAGCCAGCAAGGGCAGGACGCAAGGGTGAGACCCAAATCCATTCGACTCAGACCCCAGAGGCTCTCTGCTGTGACTTCCGCCCTCAGGCCACGAAATTTAGCCGTGGCTGTTTGGCTTGGCCTCAGTGCTGGCGCTGGGTGCTTTCTCCAGCACAGACCTCTCCCCGAGGGACCAGAGTGACACATCAGGCTGTTCTCCAGGATGCGGAGAAGGGAGGGCCTGAGGTGGGGGAGGGGACATCTGAGGGGGGAGAGAAGGGCACCAGGGGGGAACCTGAGACGGGGGAGCACTACCAGGAGAGAGAGGAGCACCTCCGGTGGGGGGCACCTAAGATGAGGGAAGAGAGCACCGAGAGGGAGCACCGAGAGGGAGCACCTGCGGCAGGAGGGGAGCACCTGCGGCAGGAGGGGAGCACCTGAGGCAGGAGCACCACCAGGAGAGAGGGGAGCACCACCAGGAGAGAGGGGAGCACCCCAGGTAGGAGAGAGGGGGAATCTGAGGCGGAGAGAGAAGAGCAGTGAGGGAGCACCTGAGGCAGGAGGGGAGCATCAGGAGTGCGGGGAGCACCTCAGTAACCTGAGAATGGAGGTAAAGTGCTCCTTGAGTGGACACAAGATGCCCCTGCTCCCCCCACCCCACGATGCTCGGAGCCTTTCGCCAGCTGGCCCTGGAGGGACCCAGGTCAGGACGACACTTGCGGGACCGTGTAAGTGACCCCTGCCCCTGTACCTCGCGTGCCCCAGCCGGCATCCGGGTCTGCTCCACAAGGGGCCAGATTGGCGTTCTGGAAGAGAAAGAGAGAGGGCGGCAGGAGGCAGGTTGTAGGGGCCGGCGGGCGCGCCTGGGTGGTGCCGGCCCGGGCGGGAGGAGGGTGGGCGGCCCGGAGCCCCCGGCGCTGGCGCCGGGGGCTCCGGAAGGTCCTCCCGCCCCTTCCAGGCCCGCGCGGACCCTGCCTGGCCCGGCTCTCCTGCCGCCCTCCCATCCACGCCCGCACACTTGCTCCCGGGGCCGCGCACAGCGTGGAGACCAGACCCTGTGGGCCCCAGGGCTCCTGTGGGCCGGGTCTGCACGGCCCCTGGACGGAGCCCTGCCTCTGGCTGTGACCGGCAATGGCACTCCGTGGTGACGCTCGGCAAACGCGGGCCACCCTCCCTGTTTCACGGCATTCATCGGTAAGCTGCCATTTCAGTGCATCACGACCACCCAAGCCCGCCTGAGAAACGCATCCTGCAAACCGCCGAGGAGGGTCTGGGCCGCAAGGTGGGCGCTGAGCCCCAGTGTCCCTACCCCCGCCTCCTGCCCGAAGAACACGGGGTCCTCAGGCCCGGCACCTACATGGGGTCTGACACAGGCCAGGCGCTCTCGGACAGCCCTTCCAGAATCACCCGGGTCAGGGGTTAACTTTCAAGGGAGGCCTGTGTCGGAGGGGAGATGCCCGCGTCGCCGCAGGAGAGCCCGTTCAGCACTGCTGCCTTCCAGCAGAAGGGCGACAATCGAGGGACGGGCCCGGGGGCAGAGACCAGCCCCGAGAGCCCTTCATTCCCCACACGGGAAACAGGGGTGCTGGGTCAGGTGAGCCCGCGAGTGGGGGCCTGGAGCCAGTCTCTCCTGAAATATTTGGTGTTTTCTTCACCGCAAATTAATCTGGATTTTAAAAGATACATCAGATGCATCAGGGGCGCCTGGATGGCTTGGTCAGTTGAGTCTCTAACTTGATTTCAACTCGGGTCATGATTTCACGGTTCATGGGTTCGAGCCCTGTGTCAGGCTCTGTGCTGACAGAGCGGAGCCTGCTTGGGATTTTCTCCCTCTCTGCCCCTCCCCTGCTGGCGCCTTCTCAATAATCAAAAACCTCTAGGATCAGTCACTATCTTTAAAAAAAGACACTTTGATTATTGAGTTGTTTGGCAAGTGCCTCGCTGGCCTCGCCTCATCTCACCCTGGGGACCCTGAGCCAGGTGCCTTCACCGCCACTGCCTTTAACGACCGTCACAGAATAATTCTCCTTAGGGGTTTTCAAGAGCAATTTCTGAGACATTTTCTCAGGATACGAGAAGCACCTCCAGGGGCGCCTGTCTGGCCGGGGGGGGAGCGGGGGAGGGGGGCGGGGCACCTCTTCCTGCGTAACCGAGGCAAACCCGTGTCCATCTGCCTTCGCCCCTCTGGCCTGTGAGGCGGAAGACAAATGCCTCCCCCTAGTGCCCGCTGTCCCGCATCACGGGCCGCCGCCGCCGCCCTGGGCAAGGGGAGACCCCTTTCCCAGCTGGCTTCCTCTGGTCGGCCAGGCTCTGAGACAAGACAGAGTCTCCCAGGAGAGACGGGAAGGCATCTTCCGCGGGGGGGGGGGGGGGGGGGGGGGGGGGAGCCTGGGTCCGTCCAGAGTGGGGGAGGGGCAGTCTCCCCGTGGTCCTCCAAGTGCCTGAGGTCTTCAAGCCCTCCCTGGTGCCAGGGACCTTGTGGCTACTCCTCAATAGGTGGGGTGGCCAGGGGAGCCCCGGGAACCCAGCGCCAACAGGCACCTCCCTGGCCGATTCCCCTACAGCCCTCCGCTGAGGCCCCAGGGAATTTAAAAGCAACAAATTATTAACCTCTCCCATTGGCGGGTGTTTCCTGCCGGCCAGCTGCCCTACAGATGACAGAGTCTACAACCTTTGCTGCGAGCCTAGGAGATGGGGGTCATCACACTCATGTAACGGGCAAGGCTCAGAGAGGTTCAGCAAGGAGCCCGAGATCCTACAGCAAATACACAGAACTAGAAACATCGTAACTCGTGTCTTTGCTTCTCAAAACCTGACACCGGAAGTGTTAGCGGTAGGACCGGAATGGCGGCTGTTCGGTGGCCATTGTTATTTTCTTGCTAAAACTCATGTTGCAATGAGCCACTAGAGTCAGCACCCCCGTGTGGGGGTAAGAAAGTAAGAAGGGTAGGGGGCTTGGCTTAACAACGATTCCTCGCGTGGGAACCATGCCACGGAGCTTAGGTAGACGGCTTCGCCTGTTTTAACGGTCATTGGTCCTCGCGTGACCTTAAGGGGGAAGGGTAATGCTTTCAGACCAGGAAGGAGAGCCTCAGGACCTGTAAGTGGCTCGCCCAAGGACACACCCGTTGCTGGTGGCAGAGCCGGGAGCTAACTGGGGGCTGTGACTACCGCACGTGAGCTTTCCAGTGTCACAGCTGGAAAACACGATACCTCTTCGTTAAGGTTTTCCCGGTACACAAACATTTGTGCAAATGCTTGATGGACACGTGAACGCCTGATTCCAAGGATACAGACTTTCCTCCATGTATCTATCAGAGGGGCTTGCCGTTTGCGCTATTCAATTGCACCATGCACTTTTCACTCTTTTTCTGTTTAACAGATTCACACGTCTGATTTCAAAAGCCATGTTCAAAGTGCCTACTACCGCCTTGTGTTATTTATCAAGGTCTCCGGTACTGCCACGGAGCTTGCTGCATTTAAGTGTACGAAGGCAATACCTGTGTGATAATGTGGGTCCTCACACACTAGCGCCCCCTCTTCACGTTATGATTACAATCCGACAGCCTCTGCCTTCTAGTCGGAGAATTCAGTCTGTTCATATTTGCCTTCGGGTGGCAGTGGTAGTTCTCCTAATAACAGACCAGGTGGCACATTGGGATTTACCCGCCACGTCCACAGGGCTGTCCACAGTGAGTGGCTATTGCCCTATTTATTCCACAGAAATGAGCCAAGTAAGGCTCTGTGACAGGCTGGTTATCAGGATATTTTATTGAGCTCTGGGACACTTGTGGTGACAGCCCCTTGTGACCAGTCCTTCTCAAAGCAAGAACTAGAAACCTCTGTCTCCCCCCGATGGACTTGATTTCCTTCTTTCCATCAGACAATGAGAACCAGATGGCCACTCCTGTTTGCCTCTTTGCCCTGGCTACTAGGAAGCTCAGTGCTAAGTTTTAATAGTTTTTTATTACAGCAGGCTCTTCTGTTTCTTATATAATTCTGGTATATAATTTCTTTTATGCTTTCCTCCTCGGCTCCTTTGTGATTGGTGGTCATGGGTTTTTGGTCTGAGTGCTCCTGTGTCTTTTTCATTCAGGCCACCTAGAATCTTTTCTGGAAGTAGAGGCACACCAGAAACACCCTGACAAGTGGCCCGTGAGCACTGCGGGCCACAGACAGTGGTGGGTGACCACATCCAGGTGTCGAGCACGGCTGTCCAGTAAAAGCCTGCTCATTAGAAAGCTCAATGATCTGGCCTTCCCGCTGAGAAACAGGCACAAAATTACATTATGTAAAAGTCTTAAAAAGACCATTTAAAAAGGAAAAAAAAAACAGGAAGAAACTTCATAGGGAAAAAGAATCCCAAAGCAAAGTCACCGACCTCCCACGTAAGCAAGGTAAAAAGCTGAAAGTCTTCCCACGATGCCTAATTCTATCTTTGTCACTGCCACCCCCGCCCCCCACATCTGCAGGATGCACAGGCTTCCCGCCCTCGAGGCCAGCGGGGGAAACGTCCACAGAGGGCTCAGCTCTAGATCCTGTAAGGCTCGGGCCTCTGCTCTCACTGGCTGTGGGAGAGGGAGGGAGCACTGCCTCCGTGCGGGGGCGTCGGGATCAGCTGTTCCCAGCTCTCCCGGGGTGGGCGTGGGTGTGTGGAGAGCACAGCCTTCTCTGCAGATGCCGGGGACATCGGTCCGAGTCAGTCCGGCTCAAACCAAGGAGGGCATCTCCCCAGAGGACGTAGCGCCCAGGCGCCAATGATGCGAGACCAGAAGTGCAGAGAGTTCCTCTCCTGATGAGGGCAAGTCCCAGGATGTGGGGGGATGGTCCAGGCTGGGACCACTGCCCTCCTGGGCCCCTGGTCACAGGGCAGCTGTCCCAGGTGTGCAGAGAACATTCTGGGATGCCGCCCACCCCTCAGGACTGCTAACCCCGAGCCTGAGGATTTAGACCTCCTGGTGCTGCGGGGGTCCAATCCTTAGAAGGAAGTTCAGAGAGGCATGCCGCATGCGTGGCCCGGCGCTGGCCCGTTGCAGAACAGGGGTGCAGTTAGTGGGAAGAGGGGGTTCACTAGAGTCGAACCATGCAGAGGGGCCGGGGCCCAGGACAGACGCAGCAGCGGGTGGGGCAGAGCCCGAGGAAGACAAAGGAGGCCGAGGAAACGCCCATGGGGTCCCTATTCTTGGATGTGTCCCTGGGAGCCCAGATGTGAGGTGGCCCCGGGGGGGCCAGAGGAGGCCGTCCCCAACGTTATACGCTGACTGCCATGCCCACGACAGGGCACCACCGGGGCTCGGCTTCCCAGCGGCTTCTCTGCGGAATAACTTGCCTTGGTTTTAGACAAACGTCCTCAGACAGAGGAGAGGCAGCCTGACCGCGGGTCTCCTGGGGCTGCGGGGGGGCTGGGTGCCATCACACCTGCCCCACCCAGGGGGCCGCACTGGGCACTAGTGAAGCCATAGGAACAGAGACAAAATGAGCCCAGACCTTCCGTGGGGACAAGACAGGTGCCAGACTATCTGGGCTCACGTTCCCACGTCCCAGGTTTGGGAAAACCGGACGAGGAAATCAAACCAGCCTTTAGCTGGGGGGGGGGGGGGGGGGGGGGGGGGGGGAGGGGCAGCCAGAGAAAGCGGAGGACACGCTGTGGGATCTGGTAATCAGCACAGGTGCAAGCGGTGACGCTTGCGATAACGGTGATGCTACTGGTCACAGATGTTAACGACACCACTAGTGGTGACGGTCGTGAGGGTAGACACCCCAGGAAGGAGGTCCTTGACTCACGTCACCATGAACTAGTTGATTCTATAAGATTCCTAATTAGCTCTGGGTCACAGAAGGACGTGGGCCAGGAGGGGCCTCAGAGGATCTGAATGCTCCGGGTGGCCCCCATCCCCCCTGTCCTCACACTGAGGTCTCCTTGGGAGCCGGGGACTGGGTTTAGAGGGAGGGGAGGGTGTCCCAGTTCTGGTCTGGCCCTGGTCTGTAGAAGCAGCAGCACGGCCCCCACCGGGGGGGGCAGCAGGCAAGAGGCGGTGGGTGGGAGGGGTCCCCGGGCCCCACAGGCGCTCAGGCTCACGCAGGCGATGGTTAGTACAGGGAGCCAGAGAGGGGTCGAGTACCTACCCGGTGGTCCAAGCCATTCTTCCCGTGTCCTGGGAGAGGGTCAGATTTGGAATAGGGGAATCCTGAAACAGACACAGCACAGCTCTGTCACGCACGCACTCGGGCCCGGCCAGGCAGGGGAGGAAGGGCTAGTGACACACAGAGAGGGCCCTGAAGATCGCGCCCCGCCTCGGTCAGGACCTCTGTCTCCAGGGCGCTGACTGAGGAGGAAGCCGGCAAGGGTGTGACGTCCCCGAGCCCGCCTGTGGCACCAGGAACACCCCGGGGCCCGGCCCTGGTCCCGGTGGGCCCCTGTGTTCTCTGACAGCCTCGGGCCTGGGCACCATCGGTCACCCAGGCCGAGCCGGGGGCAGAGTCAGGACCCCTGCAGGGGAAGGGCTGTGCCCGCCTCTCCCAGTTCCAGCCCTGCAGCACGTATCTGGGCAGAGCAGCGCGCAGGCTCTCTGCAGCATCTTCTGGCTGAGAGGGGAGCGTGGGGTGCGTCCTGGAGGCGAGGACAAGGGCCAGAGCCTGGCCACCCCCACTCTAGGGAAAAGCACCTTTAGGAGGCTTGTCCCTGGTCCTTGGGGGCCCTTAGAGCTCAGGGACCACATCTGCTTATTCAGGGGTCCTGGCTCCCAGCACCGGGCCGGCACCCCGCTGCCCAGGCACCAGCGCCCACCCTGGAGTCGCCAGGCCACTCGTCAGAGTGCGTCTCTAGGGTTCACGAGGCCGTATGTGTGCGCGCGCGCGCACGTGTGTGAGTGTGTGTGGGCGCGTGCGCACAGGACCAAGGGCGGAGGACTGAGCCTCCAGAGGTGAGCTGGGGGCCGTGCCCAGAACTGTCCACCCACCCACCCCAGGGCCGCCCTGCTTCTGACCAAAGGATGCTTATCCAGGCGCGCTGGTCTCTGGGAGCCCTCACACGTCTGCGTGGGTCCCTGCGCACACAGGCAAGCCTGCAGCCTGCGCCTTGGCTGGGAACCTATCCTGGGGACTCGGTTGCTCCCAGGAGGCCTGTGGGAAGGCCCTGGACGTGGGTCAGAAAGGGCCTTCAGCCACATGGAGGGCAGGGTGCTCCAACTTCTTTTAGCAAAGGCGCCCTCTTGCCACGGAGATTTTACATGAACTCTGACGTACAAAACGGGGGGGGAAGGGGAGACAAACTGGGGCGAGGGGCGAGTGGCCAGCCACAGTCGCTTCCCCATTCCTCCCGGCAGCTCCCAAGCCTCCTCCAGGTCAACGACTAGTTTCCCTTTCCACAGAAGGCGAATCGAGGCTCAGAGACGGGGTTGGGGCGCTACCCGAGGGCACTCAGCCTCGCAATGCAAGATGGGGTCCCTCCTAATTTACACAGAGCCAGGCACATTCGGGGGTGTGAGGCTGCGGGGTCAAAGATCGGGGGGACCCTCCACTGAGACATGGGAGCCCCCTCTCAGCCAAAGAGGCTGGTGCAAAGTTCTCAAGGTGGGGTCCCCGACTAGCAGCATCAGCCTCACCCAGAACTGGTTACACAAGCAAATTCTCAGGCCCCACCCCCGACCTACGGCATCAGAATCCCGGGGCTGGGGTCCAGCCAGCTGTGTTTTCACAAGCCGTCCGGGACGTTCTGATGGACACTATGGTTTGGGAAGCACGTCCCGTGCTCAGATGTCATGCGCCACTCTGTCTTACCACTTCTCACGCAGCACCCCTCCTCCACGGAGGCCACCTTGTTCTTTTTCATGACACCTGTCACAGGTATTTATTCCACCTACCTTGAGCGTCCATAGCAGATAACCTTAGAAATTTTGCTTCAACCATCAAACAGGATTTTGGAAACTCATGAAAAGAATAGCCCATTTTTCCTATTCCAAGGGGCTTTCCATTCGGAAGTTCCAAGTCTTTTCATCATTTCTTTTCTGCTTGGACGCTTTCCTCCTGTAATTCTTTAAAGAACGTCTGCTAGTGAAAAGTTCTTAGTTTGGCTTCGAGAATTTCTTCATTTCCCACTCATTCCCGAAGGATATGCTCCCCCAGTATGGAATTCACGTTCACAGCAACTGTCTTTCAGCCCCTGTGGTTTCTGATGAGAAACGAACTGCCTCTAGACAGGCGTTTCCCTGTCTGCCTTCTGTCTTGGCTGCTTTCAGGATTTTCGACCCTCTGTCTTTAGATTTCAGAAATTCAGTTATGATGGGCTCTGGAGTGAATTACTTTGGATTTATCCTATTTGGGGTTCAGACAGTTTCTGGAACTTGCAGGTTTATGTCTTTTGCCACATTTGGTAAGAGTTCAGCCATATCTTTGAATTTTCAAACCCACTCTCTTCTCTCTGGGACTCCAATGCGACAAATATTGCCCCGCAGGTCTCCAAGGCTCCATTCATTTATCTTCCACTGTGTTCTCTCTGTTGTTCAGCCTGGGTGCCTTCTGCTGCCCCATCTACAGGACCACTGACTTTCCTCTGTCATATTCTGCTATTCGGTTATTGCATCCATCTGGTGGTTTTTAAATTTTGATTTATTTTTCATTTCTAGAATTTCCATTGGACTCTTTTTAAAAAATTTTTGGTTGTTTCCCGAGTATCTGTACTTGCTTCTTGGAGTGCTTTTCTGATGGCTGGCCCTGAAAATCCTTGTCTGTGAGCCCCAACATCCAGTTCTTTTTTTAAATATTTATTTATTTGTGTGTGTGAGTGAGAGAGAGAGAGAGCAAGCAGGAAGGTGCAGAGAGATCGGGGGACAGAGGATCCAAAGCAGGCTCTGTGCTGACAGCGGAAAGGCCAACACAGGGCTCAGCCTTGCGAACCACGAGGTCGTGACATGAGGCGAAGTCAGATGCTCAACCGACGGAGCCCCCAGTCGCCCCGACATCCAGTTCTTGGTGTCATATTTGCTGCCTGTTTTCACCCAAACTGTCATCTTCATGGCTCTTGGAGTGGAGTGCCGTTCCCTGTTGTCTCCCAGACGTCTGGGGCATCGCATCGGAGGACGCCGGGTCCTGGGAAAGCCTCCTGCAGAGGCCGCTGCCTCTCTGCTCGGGTTTGGCAGATGGGCTAATTGCAACGGGCTGTGCTTTTGAGGAAAAGCTAGCTTTCGGAACATCTGTCCAAGTGCTCTTCTGGTCTGCGAGGCCAGCCGGTGCCAGCACTGCCTGTGTTTCCCTGGTTGCTCTGTGCCCCAAGGTGGCCGTGGGAGATGCCAGCCACTGTGAGGAGGGCTTCCCAGGTCCACCCTCCAGGCCGCCAGGAGCCCTGCACATCTGCGGGTATGGCCAGGAGAGCACTTGGCGCCACTGCATGGGAGGCGGGAGACGTGGGCCCTGTATTTGCCCTCCAGTCCCAGGATCCCTGGCCAGCCCACCTCCTTCTTCCCACCACTGGGAGTTCTGTGATCTGTCTGCTGTATTGCTTCGGAGGGTGGGGCTGGGGGCGAGCAGGAGCCGTAGAGGCTGCCATGTGGACCCTGGGGAGTCTCACCCCCAGGCTGCCATGTGGACGCGTCAAACTCGGCCTCTCTGGGGCTGGGACCAGCCGTCAGTAGACTTTAGAGGTCCCAGTGACCCCGTGTGCAGCCAGGGTTGAGAGTCACCAGTTTAAAAAGTCCCCTCACACCTTCAGAGACGTCACCTGACCCTCATAAGCCTACACATTACATACAACCCCCTTTTATAGGTGAGGAAGCTGAGGAACAGTGAGAATAAATGACCCCTATGAGGTCAAGGTCTGCTGGCAGAGATGCCAAGGCCAGAGCCTAGGACCTGCGGCTTCAGGAACCAGTGACCCCACCTGCTCCAGCAGCCTCGCCAGGTGTGGGTTTAGCAGTTGGAGGGGGGGTCTCTTAGGCACGTGCGTGTCAGAAGGCACTGGGTGGCCATAAGAGTACGTGCCGTGTGTATTTGAAAGAAGGCAGGTCTGCTGTCCCCGGGACGAGGCGCCAGCTGGGTGATTGTGAGTCTCATCAGCCCTGTAGGTGCTGGACACCCTCCGGTCCCCAAGTCCTCGCCAGATGGGCTCCCCTGCCACCTCCTCTCGGAAGCCCACCTGTGGCAGCCTTTCCCTTGGCCTCCTGCGGGGACCGCTCTCAGGGCCCCGAGCAGAGTCTCCTGGCTTCTGAGAGGTCAGAGTGTCTGCAAGGAGAGGCCCCTCAGGGGATGTGGCTGCTCCGGATGCAGCTGGAAAGGCTGCCACAGCCCCGGGGCGTCTCCACCACAGCCCATCAGCCAGGTGCTTCTCGGAGCAGATCTGCGTCAGCTTTGCCAGAACCACGGTGGCTTTCCACGGACATGTGGCTCCGTGACCTTGCGGCTGCGTGACCCCGCACAGGTCTGCGTCCGGGACGGGGCTGGAACTGCCCTCAGCCCCGAGCGACCGTGAACAGGAGGCCCAAGCTCCAGGCCTCAGATGCCAGCGAGAGGGGGCCTTTGGACTTGACCGAGCTCTGCCCGAGGCTCAGGTCACAGGATGCGGGACCCCAAAGCCCAGGTGCCTCCGACCAGGAAGCCTGGGTCATCCCCATTTCTATAGACAAGGCCATTTTAAAAGCAGACAAGTTCGTTTTTGTGCCCAAAGTCACAAGGCGAGTGACAAGCTGGGACTCACGTCCGAGCGGACCAGCATCCGGATCTAGCACTCCCTGCCGGCTCGTCCTCTGATCTCGGGGACGCTGCTGCTGCCTGTGTCCGCGGCAGCCACTGTCCTTCCCCTCCCCCGCCCCCACCAGGAGCAGTCCCGTGTCCCAGGAAGAGGGGACAGCGTAGCCCGGGAGGCCCCGTGCCCAGCACTGGCGAGCACCGAGAAGCTGATACATGTGAGGGAGGGAGGCACGGGGACATCCCCACGGGACCCGCGCCCCAGGAACTAACCATCCCCGGGGGAGAAAGCACACAGAGGGTCCTTGATAAAGTGCTCCCGGCCTCGGATGGGGGAGGGGAGACAGCTTCCAGCTGGGTGGGGGTGTTTCAACGCCCTAAGGCAGATCAGGAGGGGGACAAAGGACGCCCTGAGACATGTGACCTGAGACATGGGCTCCCCTCCATGAACCCCACTCTGCCTTCAGCTCCCGCCCCTGCCCCCCAGTCAGAGGCCACACCCGTCTGGTCC